GAGGAAGGGAGAGTGGGGGAGAGAAATAGGGAAACATCAGAGAAACATTGATGTAAGAGAGAAATATTAATCAGTTGCCTCCCATATTCGCCCCAACCCGGGATCAATCATGCAACCAAGGTATGTTCCCTGACCCAGAATCGAACCCACAACCTTTTATTGTGCAGGACAACACTCCAACCCACCGAGCCACCTGACCAGGGCCCGAGAGGGAATTTTTTTAGCTCAGTAAATGAAGGTGGACCTGGGGTCAGAACAGAGAACAGGACAAAAGTTTCTGCTCTCCCACTTCAGAACAGTTGACGTCGGGGTACTTGGGACAGGGACTGGGCCATTGACGGGGCAGTAGAATATTTTCTTTATCCACCTTATGCATTCTGTCACCTAGAGATGGCCCAAGGAAAGGACACTGGGACAAGGTCTGGATGCTGTTGAAGGAACTGGACAAAAGTCACTCCTTCACCCCACTTCACCAGCTGCTTGGTCAGATCCTCCCCCCACACTTTTGCCCCCCAATGCCTCAATCCTTGTGTTTCGCGCCTGTTCAGAGGTATCAAGGCTTCCAAGGACCCTTGTTGGGGAAGTACCAGCCTTTTTCTTATTCGTTTTACTTTCTTTAGCTTTTTTCTTTCTTTAGTTTTTTTCTGACTTCGCTCAAATCTTCCTGTACCACATTGGACCTCATGGATCTATGATACTAAGAACTGAATTTCCTCCAGTGGCTGTTCATGTACGTCACAGTGCTTTAACAATGAAAAGGCATATGAGAAGAGCATGGGAAAGGAAGTCCCCAAATAACTGCCCACTTAAGAGGAGAAACAGCTGGGCCAGTACCTAGGGAAGCGCACTTACGTGAACCTACGCAGAGAGAATGTTCTGGGGGGACCTAGAAGTTGCGTGTAAAAGCAGAAGTCCAGTGGGCCCTCTTGTGCTCTCAGAGAGGGGCGAGTTTCCTCTGGGTGAACAGCCGTATCTGCTTGGTTCCTTCCTCAGATGTTGCTGTGCAATATGGTAATCACTCAACACATGGAGCTTCTCAACACAAGACACCTTCAGACCCGTGAAGAATTATTTTAGTTTATCTGAGCCAAAGCAGTAGACAATTGCTGGGAAGCAAAATCTGAACAGATTGAGATAATGCTCCGGAGAATGGCAGCTTTGTACTTTATTTTACATATTACAATCAAAAGAGGAGAGGTAAGTGGTCTACATGAAATCACTGATGATAGATCAGGGAGGCAGAGAAAGCAAAGTGGGGAACCTCTGGGATTGAATTGTACCTCTTTTATTAGGCGGGTACAGGATGTAAAAGATAGTCAACAACGAACTCAATAATAATGAGGGGATTTGTGGCCGCCGAAGAGCAGGGTCTGTGCTTTGAGGGGTCCGGAAAAAGGAAAATTACTTGACATTCCAATATGTTGTCATAGATGCAAAAAGACAATAGACAGGCTCAGTTAAGGTAAAGATTGATCTACGTCAGGGAAGATCCCAGCCTAGGACATGACAAACTGCTTTTAGTTAAAAAGTTTTCATTTCAGACCATCCTTTGTGGTTACTTTAGGTCTCTGAGTTTGCAAGGCTGCCATGCGCGCCTCTCCTGAGGTTAGCATGCGGCACCTTTTGGTCCACAAAGCTTATTAAATTTAAAGTAAGTTCAAAAATAAAAATCCAGTTCTTCAGTCTCAGTAGCCACATCTCAGAGCTCAGTAGCCACATGGCTGTCATGTTAGCACAAATATAGAACATCCGCATCATCATAGAACGTTCTATCGGGCAAGTGCTGGATTTGAGGTATGTGGGTAACAGGGCGGGATGCCTGTGTTCTGGCTTTTCAAGGCTCAACTCTCCAGCAGACCTGGGTATGTTATCTACTCTCTCCCCGTCATCCCCTCCTCAGATCAGGTACAGTCACCAGGTTGTGTACACAAACAATAGAGCTTTGTGCTCCATGATCTCTTCATCCTTTGTCTGCCCTCTGGCTTGCTCTTGTTCTCCGCCACCTCTCCAGTCCCTGGAGAACCAGCTGCAGAAAAAAACTTTTCCATCAACTTTGACCTAGTTTCCTGGTCTCGGATTTGAAAAAGGGCAGAGCCACTAAATTCTTGAATAGGCAGGAAAAGGAGGAGGCTGGGGTCAAAGTAAAGGCTATAAAGAGCTAGAGACTTTGACACCTGGGTAAGGAAAAACAAAGAGAGCCAGGAAAGAGCTACTGAGAATGAAAAACAGACACAAGCAAACAAAGACGGGAGCGGAAAGGAATCTTTTCAATTTCACTTTCTGTTCCATTACATGGATTTTATGAATTTCCAGGAATCCGAGGTTTGGAATTAGCATGTGCAAGTCCACAGAAAAGCCGAACCCCAAATAACGGCCAGGACTAGATCTGTCTACAAAGGTTTAAATGAGCCAGAAATCGGAGGTACATTAAGGCCTGCCATTTCAGGGTTTCCATCCGAGTCACCCCTTTAGGAATAATAAAAATCATTTCAATTAGAGGTGCAATTACGTGGTGTCAATCTATTGTTATTACCCTACAAGGAAGAAATAGGAACTGCTGAAGCATAACATATCCTAAGGGATGAGGGTGGAGTTGAGTATTCCGCAAACATTTACTATTATGATTATACGCTTGGAAAGGTACAAACTGCAGAGATAAAACATGGGAGCAGCCTTCAAAGAATTTAAGCCCTGGCCGGGTAGCTCAGTTGGTTAGAGCACTTTCCCAAGGTTGTGGGTTCGATCCCAGGTCAGGGCACATACAAGAATCAACCAATGAGCCCTGGCCAGTGTAGCTCAGTTGGTTGAGTGTTGTCCCATGCACCAAAAGGTCGCTGGTTCGATTCCAGTCAGGGCACATGCCTGGGTTTTGGGGGCTTAATTCCTGGTAGGGGACAGGCAGGAGGCAGCTGATTGGTGCTTCTCTCTCACATTGATGTTTCCCTCCCCCTCTCCCTTCTGTTCTGTCTCTGAAATAAACTTAAAAAACACAGCAAGAGCCCTAGCTGGTTTGGCTCAGTGGATTGAGCATCGGCCTGTGGACTAAAGAGCCCCAGGTTTGATTCTAGTCAAGGGCACATGCCTGGGTTGTGGGCTCGATGCAGGAGGCAGCTGATCGGGGATTGATTCTCTCTCATCATTGATGTTTCTACCTACCTCTCCCTTCCTCTCTGAAATCAATAAAAATATATTTTAAAAAATACATAAACAAAAAACCCATTCACTTAAAAAAAATCAACCAATGAGTGCATAAATGGAACAAATTGATGTTTCTCTCCTTTCCTCTAAAAATCAATTTTAAAAAAGAATATTCATAACTAAATCCTTAAGTCCTGAATAATTATTTTGTCTTTATATAAACCAGGTTTACACTGGGGAGAAACCATGATGAAGCCAAATGATAAAATCTGGAACTGTAAACCTTTCCTACCAATTCCCCTCACAAACCTCATTTTCTTGTTTTTTAAAAGCTCATTAAAAAAAAAAAAGCTTATGCACTCCAAAATTGAAGAACTTTAGTAATGATTAACTATAAATGTAGAAAACTAGCTTAGATCACCATAAGATCCCAGCTAGTTCCTTACTGAATTGGAAAAGACCAAATATAGCTCAAATGTCTTCCCTCTCCAGCTCTGCAACCCCCATTCTGACTATATTCATTAGGGTCGATAGGTAATAATCTGAGGGTTTTCAAGAATGAATTGTGAAGTAGGAGAAACGCTCCTTTAGGCACACTTTTTAAAAAAGTTTACTTATTGCCGTAACCGGTTTGGCTCAGTAGATAGAGCGTCGGCCTGTGGACTCAAGGGTCCCAGGTTCGATTCCGGTCAAGGGCATGTACCTTGGTTGCGGGCACATCCCCAGAAGGGGGTGTGCAGGAGGCAGCTGATCGATGTTACTCTCTCATCGATGTTTCTAACTCTCTATCCCTCTTCCTTCCTCTCTGTAAAAAGTCAATAAAATATATTTTAAAAAAAAAGTTTACTTATTATGTATTGGGATACATTGGTTTGTTGTTCCACTCATTTATGCATTAATTGGTTGAATCTTGTACATTCCCTGACAGGGGATTGAACCCACAACCATGGCACATTGGGATGACACTCTAACCAACTGAGCTACCCGGCCAGGGCGAGGCACACTTTCTAATAACTTCTCCAAAACCATCTCACAGACAAGGAAACAGTTTTTGCCATGAAAAAACTTTATTTATTTTTTACAAAGAATATCCCCTACATGGGGTGAAAATATATCTGGTTAAGTACAAAATATAGTTTTTTTAATCATACAAAAAGATACACAATTAAAAAAACATTAAACCACCTTCAGTCCACATGCTTTCTCAGAAAAGGGTGGAGCTCAGTGCTCTGACACAGGAGGCGGAACAAAGTGCTAAAGGCTGCAGTGAGAGGGGCTGTCAGCATCCCCCGCCTCCCAACCCTGGAGAGGGGAGCCGGGGCTTTTGTGGAGATCTGCCCTCGGGTTTCTCACAGCAACGTCCGGAGGCTCTGACCAGGGCCAGGCATCCCGATCTAGCCTCTCCTTGGTGAGAAGTCACCGTGGGCAAGGCTGGTAGCAGCAACCCCTCTCAGACAGCTGGAGTGTCAGAATTACAGAATTCTGTACACTGGGACAAAGTCTCAACAGTCATGAGCAACTTCTTTGTCCTTGTGCTTATATCTAGAGACGTAGTAGACCAGTTTTAGCTTACGTTTTGAGATAGAAAAGAGTAACATGACAGGAACTAAAGTGCTAAACACATCACCTCAGAATCAATCCCAAGGAGTCACATGAAAGGAAAAACAGGTTCTCCCATATAAAGACGTTTGCAACAGAACACAGTGCAATAGGCTCTGAGAATGGCTTAGAAGACCTTTGGTGGGGCATCGCTATTAATGCTTTCTGCCAGATGGAATACATTCTAAGCAAAGACCGCCTTAGAGCTTCTTCCCTTTAGTTCACACAGCTCTCCAAAGTCCAGACCCAATCAGCTTTGGAGAGTTTTTTTTTTTTTGCTGTAAGTTTACAAAGGGCAAGGATGATTTTAAGAACCTCCTTTTCCCAAAGTTTTGAAGATGATTTTTCCCCCCTTTCCATTTTCCCAGTTTGCTACATTGATTCTGCTCCACATGATACAGACGTTCATGATCTGGTATCATTATAACGATCTATATATATATTCCCCTGCAAAAAAATCTTGGGAAGACCATGCCAGGAGGCCATTCAAAACTACTCAATATGCCCCAATTTTCAAGGCGATCTCAGAAAATGGGATGGGCCTATGTTTTTAAACCCATCTAGCAAACACCCCGACATCACAACATCTTGGCTGGCTGAGGATGGGTGTGCATCCTTTAAGGCCCAGGAGACTAGACTGCCTGCTGGTCACCTCCTACGCTGGGGAGTCAGAGGCTGGGGTGGACCAACCCCACTGCAGAGACTGTTGAGTCTCTGAAAAAGTAAGAGTCCAGGAAGAGGCGGAAAGAAACAAGTAGATACAGCTGCTTCTTCTCTCCCACATGCTCACTGCACATTGTTGTTGAGGATGCAGGGATCCACCTGGGAGGAAGAACGAAAACATTTTAGTTCCGGTAAAAACTAAAAGAAACCCCCGCTTTAGGAATCCCTCCAACTCAACTTCCTATAGGAGGTTTGGAACAAATGCAGTGGTCAAATGACAATTCTCACCTCCGTGTAGGTAGGTGGTGGGATGAACTTGAACTCGGGCGCATACATAAAAATAGGGCTGTCTTGAGAGCCATCTGTGTCGTCTAGCAGAGGAGTGGTGGGGCTCTCCAACCGGTGGTCTTCAGGAATGATATCCATATAGCAAGGAGGAGCTGGACAGAGAGAGGTTGGGGATGAGAAACCTGGCCCAGACGTGGCCGACCGTCCCAATTTTACACACCCAAGCAGGCCCTAGGCTAAGACATTGGGTCTGGCTCACCTTCTGGGGTATCAGGGAGGTTGAGATCTACCCAACTCATCTCGGAGCTGGTCTGGCTGGCCATGCTGGACGTGCGGCTGCTCAGACCCGACCTGCTGCCAATCACCAGGGGCAGGTCCAGAATGACTTTCTTGGAGCCAGGGACGCTAACGTAGATCTAGAAAGGAAGTTGGCAGTTTGTTAGACTGGAGGTCTGGAGAAAACACCACTGCTGTTCCGACAGATGAACAATCGCTCTCTCCAGGCCCACCCCGCCCCACTCACCAGCAGGAAATATTCAACTCGGAGGATGTTGCAGCCCAAGATAGAAGGCCTGATCTTCTGCACCCGGAGGCTCTTGCCACGCCATGATGCACAGGTTCCTGAGATGATATGATTGCCTCTGACAGATGACAGCTTCTGCGTCAGCACCTTGGTCTGGCCGTTGGCAAGGTAAGTGTGGCGGGCCACGATGGCAGCTTTGGGAACCACGATTCGGGAACATGTGTTTTCAAAGTCGGCATGGATGGAAATCTCGTCACCTAGCAACAAGAAAGATGAAGCTGATGCTAAGTACAGTTGATGACTTTCCTTCTGCCCCTGCCCTGCCCACACCCCCAAAACCCACAGTTTCTATTTTGTCAGGACTTAGGCTTTTACCTTCACAAAATCCTTTTCTGTCGATTCGGGCAGAGACAGACACCCGCCCATCAGGAATGAACATGCAGGACACTTTCTTCTCCTTTTTAGCAGACACGGGAGCCTATGTAGAAGAGAGGGGGTTGATTTGAGACTTTCTGGAGACACTTTCTCTGCTTTTTTTTTTTTTTTTTAAGGATATGTTTTTAGGAAGAGAGGAAGAGAAAGGGAGAGAGAAGCATATATCGGTTGCCTCCCAAATTCTCCCTGACCTCGCCCTGACTGGGGATTGAACCCGAGACCCTTCGATGTACCTCTTACCTAGAGCAGGCAGCTTTCCCTCCCACCTTGATGACTTAGAACTTGAAACACTAAGGTGTTTCAATCTAATGCCCAAGACATGTGACTTATCATCCCTGAGACCCAAGAGAATAGAATCTTAAACTGAACCTCACCATCAGATCAGGGGTGTTGATATCCACTAGATCCACCACTTCAAAGCTTTTCTTTGTCTCTTGCGTTGGCTGGCTGGGGCGATCAAGGAAAGCCTTTACCCAGTAGTCTACATGCCCGTATTTTCCTTTGAAGGATGTTCCCAGAGGCCTGTGTCAAGAAAAAGGAAACAATTTAAAAATACTCTCCAGGATCAAGTGAGGGGAAGATCTTGAGATAGAAAAGTCCAAAGATGCACTTCGCTGATACCTACCCCTGAGGAAGCTCAAAGCCAAACTTGTACTCATATTTGTTTCCAGGTCTCATGATAACCATCTCATTCTCACCTGCAGGGAGAGAAAGGCGATACCCGTTAGGTTTCTTGTTACACTTAAAACGCATCTGTGTGATAAGAATTCTTGGGCAGCACACACCATCTATTGTAGCACCCCCATTTCCATCCCTTATGTTCTTCACTGAGAAATTCTGATGCATTTTGTTGGGCAAAAACTTGCAACGTTTAAAATTAAGCTGCTAACGTCTCAAACAGGAAAGAGTAACTTATGCATACCAAAAAAATTAAAAAAATCTTTAAATAGCTAAGGCAAAATCCCGCAGGATCACTCTAAGAAATAGGACAAATTGACCTTTTTTGATGGGGGAAGGGGTTGCAAATTTAAAACTTAAAATATAAGGACACAACACAAACCGCTCAACCCGAGCAACTTCGAGCATTTAGAAGCTCCCTGTATTCGTTTCAAACTTCTCAAATCAGCTCCCCCACACCCCCCACACACCCGCAGAGAACCCCGGAGCTCACCTGTCGGCTGGTCCTCCAGCAGCAGCGTGTCCTCGTAGCGCAGGTACTCCAGGGTCTGCTTGCACTGCTGGGACCCGTGCAGCCACAGCACCTTGGCCACCCCGCAGGCCAGCACCCGGACGGCCTTGACCCGCGTCACCTCACACACCTCCACCATCACCCGGCCGGCCACCTTCTCCCCGCTGCAGTACACCTTCTCGGGGTCGGTGAAGACCACCTCGAAAGACTTGATCTTCTTGAACACCACCATGATCGGGCGAGGTCGGCTGGGGAGCAACGAGTGCGGGTCGTGGGGGTCACAAAACCCTAAATCCACGGGCGCTTTAAAAGGACGGAAGAGCAGTTCCCTCTGCAACTCTCGGCAACTTTGGAAAAGAAGTCCGAACAGGGGAAGCTGTTGGCGATGCAAAGGATTCCAATAGGAGCACAGCTGGGGGCGCGGGGCTCGGCGGCTGATAGGTGTTCAGTCCGCAGAAACCAGGGCGCTGCCGCCGCGGCCGGAAACCGCG